GAAAGAGAAATTACCTCAAGAAATAACATATTTGTAAGTTTGTATTAAAAATGTAATTGTTTTGCTCGCATATAATGCAGGCATAACTTGATTATCGCCGTATATTTCGCACCATTTATAACTCAAATGCACGGAATATTTGTTTAATAACTTGGTATTAATGTAAACACTTTTTCGCACACATGTTATAAATAGTGCACAAAATATAACATCTTATATACAAATGAATATTAATATAACAGTAAATATATATAATAAAAGAGTTATTCAAGAATTTCTTAATACGAGAAAAACACTCGTTGCATATGAAATTAGATCACTGAAATTTAACCTTGCTAATCTTTCAATACTTGCACAATATTTATCATATATTTATACGTTTTTTAAATCCCAAGAGTTTTACGTTTCTCTCATAGGAGTGAATATGATTTGTATTTACATTACATTTTATGCAATACTTATAATACAATTAATCTCTTTATTCACTACTTCTATGAGAATATAATACACTATTTAACAGATTAGTGACAAAGAAAAAGGATTGTGTCGTAAAACTCATCGCGAAATTAATATAATTTTTTATAGGAAGTAATTGACGGCATATTTGTCTAACACTTAAACACAAATTCATTATAATATGATTTTTATGGATATTTGAAAAAAGATGTGAATAATAGAAGAGAAATATTATTACAATAAAATATTCTCTATAATTATTTATTGAAAACACAATTCACCCCTATTTTCATTACTGACAAGCGTTTGATTTATGAATAAATATGTGTTTTGTTTTTTCAAGACCTTATTTTCTACAATATTATGCAAATTATTGAAATTAATTGTAGTTTAATATAATATAATATAATTGAAATGTTTATTAAAAATCATTTTAAAGCAATTCTAGACTCGATTTGGGTTAAAGTGATTTAAACAACGAGACCTCCCATACAGTACTGGAAATATATATTTGAACTTTTATTTCCAAAACTAATTAAATCTATAGGAAAATGAGATTCATATTTCATATTTTACAGGTGTAGCTAAATGATGGACGAATACATCTCGATAACTACCGTATAGATAACAACTTGAATGTGGTTTCGTATGAATTATAATTAATTATAATGAATATATGATAGATATGTTTGGTTTAACCATGAATTTAAAATTATTTTATTATTTTTGTCACCACTTTTATAATGAAAACAGTTATATAAAAGTGATTTTAATTAACAAACCTTTAAATTCTACACCAATTTGTTATAATATATGATTTCCAGAGATATATTGTAACCATAATAATAGGAAAGAGAATACAGACAATCAGTATTGAATTTAATTTCATATTTATTCGTCAAAACAAAAGAAAAAATCGTTTCAAACAATTGAATGGTTTATAGGAATTAAAATAAGTTTTGATTTTATTTCAACACTTTATGGCAAAAAAGTAATTAAATTATACTAAAAATTAAATAATAATCACAAATGGCTTTAAAAAAGATTATACAATAAATGGCTAAACAATAGATAGGAGTTCACTATTTTCAACACAAACCCAACTATAATCACAACTGAAGAGCGAATGTATTACAAAATAAATTACTACTGTATTTAATAATAAAAATGATAAAATAGTTTTAAACTAAAATCTAAGTACAAAATATAGATAATAATAAAATTAATGCTAAAATACAATTCAAATGCGACCACAAAAGCAATTTCTGTGTTTTATTTTTGGCTTTTAATTACAATTTCGTTTTATAAGGAATGAACGGATTGTATGCTGTGTTTGGTTTTGCCGCACATTTTACTATCTATTCCTTGGATTTTAATTTAATTAATAAAAATAGTATTTTTATTTCTATCAAAGTATTCATGAAATTTTGTAACTAATGAAACAACAAATGCAAATCAAATCTAACGACTAGTTTTAATAATAGTATTATTTGTCTGTTTTAAGCGAATTCTCGATTTCTAAAATATAGTTTCTTATGGTTTTTAAGGCACGACTTGTATTAACAATCATTTCTCGCAGTTTTCTTTCTTCCTTTCATTCTTTACATTAATTCAATCAATACTTAATGTAATTCTCACTAATTATTACAATATAATTACATAGTGTTTAGTACTTCAACGGCTGTACTAACTTATCACTGTTGGTGTTGTGTCTCAACAAACAAAAACTCAATTACTTATTAAACATATAAATAATTATATATCACACAAACCCTCCCTTTCTTAACGTTTTAATCACAGAAAAGTCTGCGATATCTGTCTTCCGCTCGTTGTTTGTCTTTTCGGTGGTTTTGATCGATAATGAGTTTGGTTTGTGTTGTTTATTACCGGCGTTTGCTTTGTTTCTATTTAACAATGTATTCACTTTCATGAGTACACCTGCGCCCCCGTTGTTGGGCCCCTCTAACAGTGATGACACGCTTCCCAGACCTCCCAAACTCTTGGTTAAAGTGGTGGCCGAATGCCTGGCCGTGGAATGTATGGGTGAATGATTCGGTGCTCTCTTCTCGTTATCGTTATTATTATGCATTTGGTTTAAGTGGACATCAATTTCACGACTACTTTTAAGCTCATTTTGCGACAAATCCTCTCTTAATGTAATGCCTTTCGTTGGCTTAGAATCGTCTAAAAATACATAATTAATTAATCAGTTATTTCACTAAATATAATCTTTATTTTCATTGCAATTATATTTACCAAAATTGTTTGATTCCAATGTTTGGAGAGAATTAGTATTAAGAGTTGTATTTGTTTTGATATCCTTTATAAACAGACAAAAAATAGTAATTTTATAAAAACATGTTTTTAAACATTAAATCTTAAAATATAGTNTAATCATTATTTTCATTGCAATTATATTTACCAAAATTGTTTGATTCCAATGTTTGGAGAGAATTAGTATTAAGAGTTGTATTTGTTTTGATATCCTTTATAAACAGACAAAAAATAGTAATTTTATAAAAACATGTTTTTAAACATTAAATCTTAAAATATAGTACTTTTTGCGATGAGAGCAACGGTGCAGTGGTTTCGATGTTTTCGCCATTAATTTGTGGCAATATTTGTGATGAGAATAAATTAAAAGTAGACGAAGAAGTGGTAGGAATAGGCGCCTGAAGACCGGTAGACAACTGAACGTTACTGAAACTATTGGTCACATGTGTCGAGTCGTTTGTGTGGGACAGCGATGTTGTCGTATACGTGAAGATGGAGTTTGTGGTCACGAAATTCATGTGCCGACGGGTTTCCATCTCTTTGGCGCTTTCGTTCAGACATTCTTTCATTGAGTTTATGGTAAACTCGAGTAACTCTTTGTCCAGATCTTTGATCGCTTTGTTGGGAACGCCGGGCGTTAGGGTCTCGAGAATGACGCCGAGATGAGGAGTAGCCAGACGTTGCCATTGGCGCAAAGTGGCCGACCCTTCAATCGGTTTCACTATCTGTAACTTATCGGACAAATAGTAGTTCTTGTTATTGGCATAACCGCCGCCACCGATGCGATCGCCGCCGCCAATCACTGACTGCGGATTATTGTATCGATAGTAGAATGAATCGCCCGATAGGACAGAGTCTGGACTATAACACCGTAACTCTTCGGTCGCTTGCGTCGGATTACGGGATATACTGTTCCGTTTGGGTCTAAACCCAAGACTCGACAGTTCGCTGTCCGATAAGTCGCTGCCGAGCGTCGACTCCAACTCCGAGGCCAACGAATCGGCGAATGGCATGTATTGGCAGTAACTTGTGTTGAGTTTAGACTTCTTCTTGAATTCGGTCTGCAATTCGTGAAATGCGGCCAAAAGTGTGCCGTATTTCTCCTTAATTTCAATCAACTCGAGTGTCAACTCGTTTTGGCACTCGTGAGACACATGGAGTGCGTTCTGAATGGAGTCGCACTCAAACGTCAGGTCGCGGACCCGACGCTGGAGCTCAACCACTCTCGTGACCAGATTTGTGATCTCTTCCTGTTGTCGGACATTGTCTTCGCCTTTACGGCCGACCTCTTCCTGGAAGTTGAGTATCTGAAGATTGGCCTCCGCTGTAGTAGTGATACGTGACGTACAAAACGTAAGTAAAATCAGATAACAAATGCACACAAATGCGTGAATACAGACTCAATTGTTTGGCGCAGTCTTGGATGAGTAGTAACTCCTTTCGCTCCTCCACTTCGATATCATTGGCTCGAGAGGTGGCCTCGCATTTGAGCCGCAGATTCTCCTCTTCCAGATTGAGAATCTTTTTGTTGAGTTCATCCCAATTGGACACAGAAGTGGTCTTCTCTTCGATCGATTGCAGCGACTGTTCCTCCGATTCGAGCTCTTGTGCCTCAATGTCCGCGCAATACACTTGCAATAAACCATTTTTCATAGACAACTCATGCCTTAGTTGTACGACCTGTTCATCGAAACCGGTGTTTAGTTACTAATGATTCCCCGCAAAGAGTTTTTAAATTTAATATCAAAATTATTTACTATAAAACTAAACATTATCTGAATATGCATTCAAATAGCATTCATATATTGAATACCATTCCATATACACAATGCATTCAA